TTCAGAATGTGGTGGTAGGCAATTCACCGCAACCACTGGTCGCTGGAGGAATGTTTCGTGGTCCTGCACAGTTTCAGCGTATCGGATCACGGTTGTCATTGTGCGTGTGTTGTGAACTAACGATATATTTTTGTTTCGCAAATTTACAGAGTTATTCCAAATTTGTTCAAGAAAAGTTCGCAAAATCAAAAATAGAGGGAAATTTTCTTGGCCTTATCACCCTCTTTGTTGTGAGAAAAAATGCGAAATTTTCAGTAAGGCTTGAACACTGTTATTCGCGTAAAATACAAAATTAGGCCAATTGATTGGAACAAATGATTTCCACAAAGGCAGACGTCACCGTGATTACAGTGCGGAAGCTCCGATGCCTTCCTACAACCAACCACCTCAAGGTCCACCAATGCCAATGTATAACGAAGGACCTGGGCCACAAATAATCTCCCAAGGTCAACCGATGCCGATATACAACGATGGACCACAGGTAAACTTTTTGAAACTTACTCAGCAGCTATTCATCTCTTCACAGAACAACGGTATACAGCAGCAACCTCCTCAGCTGTATGGTAACGAAATTGGAAACTCGGGCGAATTCCAATCCGGCCGATATCAAGTGCGTTCAGTTTATTACTTTCGCTGTTTATATTCTGAAGCGTCGTTCCTTTCAGCCGCGTCAAATGTATCCCGGTAATGCCCCGAATGCCAAGGCTTTACGCCAATGATAAGGATAATTGACAAGCTTGTATGTACAAAGAAGCTCACTTATCTTCTCAACGATAGTATACCATTGCTATGCCAATAATAAATTTTGTTCATTTTGTGTGCAGAGAAAGCAGAACTGAATGGTGTACAAAAAATCAAAAGATTTTTGGTAACTTACAAGGGAAGCGCGTTTATTCGAAGTGGCCTTACTGTGTGATATCTATATCACTTTGTAAAGCAATGAACGCTGATTTCAAATCTGTCTTACTTATCTCTCAAACGTCTCTTTAGTCCAAGTTATGAGCATTTCTTAAGTCGAAAAATCAAAAGAGCAATTG